AGAGAGAGAGAGAGAGAGAGAGAGAGAGAGAGAGAGAGAGAGAGAGAGAGAGAGAGAGAGAGAGAGAGAGAGAGAGAGAGAGAGAGCACTTAGACCTTTCAGACACACACACACACACCTGATGGCACAATTAGAGGGGGGAATGATCTGTGTAATTGATCGATACGCCTGCTGAAGAAAAACGAAACCACAATTAGGGGTCGGGTAAGCAAGCTTACAAGGACCCAAAAAAAAAAGAAAAGACAAGGCTTATGAGAGCCACCTCATGGTATTAGGCAGATAGACATATGTATAATATGTATGTATATCAATATATCAGTATCTAATTGTGTGTTGTCATGTTCGCTATACACACAAGTCCAAAAAAAAAAAAGCATGACTGTGCCAAACTGTTTCGTCGGACTTTCACCTACTCATTAGGAGGAGGTTGAACCTAGACAGACAGGCTGGCCAGAATGCCTTTGAATGATGGATTGATGGATAAGGACTCATCATGTCGCCCAGAGTTAGCGATACCCATCCTAGAGAGAGAGGAAAAAGTGGGCGACTTTACTCACAGTTGGCGACTTTACTCACACAAACCAGCCCCGCATTCCTAGCAGACTTGTCTGTCCAAACCCCTTTTTCACGAAAACGGCATTAAGGTTGAAAAAGTGACCTGTCACAGACATAAAACCCACTCTACACATCCTCTCAGCCATGGATACCCACTGGCACCACCGGTAGTTCGGTCCCGACCCAAGCCGCATCGTTCCGCCTGAACGGGGAGCTTAGCAAGGTCATGTTGTATATATTTATATGTATATATCGTCTATATGTATATTGGGGTGTTGCGTTTTGCGGGCCTACTGAATGGTTCCGTTTTTTGACTATGGATATGGTAGAATGTTTGTTTTGTGAATCTTGTCTGCTTTGATTCTGTTATTGGGCATCCTGGTTGGTTGTTTCCCGTTGTTCGGCCTTTTGAGCGCGGGGCGGTGCTTGTATGTGGGAATCGTCATCCGGGATTGTCTTCTCTTTCTTTTTGGTTGTCACACAAGAATGTGGGATCGGAGCCTTTCATTTTGCTTTCTTTGCAGACAAGAATGTTTTGATATCCTGGTTGGTCTCGTCCCGTCGTTAAGCCTGCGAGTTGGGGCGGTGCTTGCATGTGGGACTTGTCATCTGGGATTTGTTTTGTTGCCCCCTGTTCTGTATTATTTGGCTGTTCCCTTCCTCTCTTCTTTGCCTCTTTGCCTTTTGGCTGTGTGCAAGTGGGTCGATATGACACACGGGGGTGGGGGCAGCCGCCGCTCAACCTACATCCACGTGGGCGGCCTTGTACGCAAGAGGTTTTGAACAGGGGGAGTTATAAGGAAGAAGATATAAAAAAAAGGATTCATTCTTTTTTTTTTCTGTTTTTCGCTTTTGCGCTCTCATATTCATGTGATGATATATATCGTCAAACAGAGCGATATATATGTATGTATATATTTGTTGTCCTCGTCTCCCTCTGTGCCTACGGTTTACGGGTCAGTTCTGTTTGACGATATAGATCTGTACTACAAGTGAGGTTTGCTCTCCTCCTCTTCTTTGCCTCTTTGGCTTTTGGCTGCGTGCAAGTGGGTTCTTGTGACACACGGGGATGGGAGCAGCCGGTGCTCTGGCCGGTCTTGTACGTAAGATGTGATGAACAGGCGGAGCTCTCCTTCCTTCTTTCCTTTTCCTGGTTTGTTTTTTCCGCCTTTGCGCTCCGATACATGGTGTGACGATATACTATGTGTATATGTGATGGGGTGTGTGTGAACCGACAGTCTGTAGAGTTTTCCATCTTGTGTGGGTGAGTGATAGGGCGTCGCTCACTACTCTCGACGTGCGGAAAAAGACAAAAAGCATTGGGGTGTATCTTTCCATGTTCTAGCGGAAGACTCATTCACTCTCGTTTTGCACACGTAGAGAGTAGTGGAGCGAGGCCGTAGTATGCTTTGGTTTTCGTCACAGGTACCTTGAGGGCAATGGTTGGTGGTCCCCACCTCCTCAGAGGGGTATCAGTTGTCGGGCCGTCGTTGATGCTTAACCACAACCGGGGTTAAGGTGGATTATCACTGTAACTTATTGTAATCCGTTAGGTAGGGGATTCTGCAGACTGTTTTTGAGGGTTCAGCCTCTACTGATTGATGAGTCAGTCGGTGAAACTCCGACGAAACAGTTTGTCACAGCCCCTCGTTATATATACGTATGTATATCGTCAAACAGATCTGCCTACGGTAAACCGTAGACAGAGAGGGAGAAAGGGAGAAGAGGACAACGAACGAAGGGCTGTGACAAACTGTTTCGTCGGAGTTTCACCGACTGACTCATCAATCAGTAGAGGCTGAACCCTCAAAAACAGTCTGCAGAATCCCCTAACTGATTCAATCATTACACTGTTAAGTGATAATCCACCTTAATTAACCCCGGGCAGTTCTGTTTGAAGATTTATACGTTTGTTGTTCTCTTCTCCCTCTCTGCCTACGGTTTACCGGGCAGTGCTGTTTGACGATATATATATCAGGTTTTCTATTTCACTCCCTGACAAACCTGTTTCGTCGGAGTTTCACCGACTGCCTTATCAATCAGTAGAGGCTGAACCCGCAAAAACAGTCTGCAGAATCCCTTAACTGATTCAATCATTACACTGTAAGTGATAATCCACCTTAACCCCGTTCGGTTAAGCGGTTAAGCATCAACGACAGCCCGACGAGTAAGCCCTAATAGGTTATACGTATTGCTATTTATGTGTAATCCACCTTAACCCCTATTTATGTGCCCGACGTATAACGTATTGTATACGCCTATTTATGGGTTAAGGTGCTACCAACAACCCCTATTTATGTGCCCGACGAATTTTGTAGTTGAGTGTTGGTTGGTACTGGTTGAAAAGGATCAAGGGCTACAGTAGGACCAATTTACAGTATCTCATCATCATTTCCATAAATGGAAACTTTCCTCTTCGGGGATTAAGGTCGCTCGTAATGGCTGTTGATATGGTGGATCCAAATCCGACCTTTCGCTCCTTCAATACGGTTTAGATGATGCCACGTGGCGCGCCAATCGGGCGGCAGCAACTCGCCTGTCGATGGGGAGTGTAGCAGCGCTGGCCACGTGGCATCCTCTATGACGTGGCACAATCACTGGCCGTTACTGCCACGTGGCGCGTCATCGAAGATGGTACTTCACTCGCCTGTAGATGACGAGTGAAGTGAGTGAAGTACCATTGTCGATGACGCGCCACTTGGCAGGAACGCTCCTTCCATACGGTGGAGATCATGCCACGTGGCACGTCAATCGGGCGGCCAGTGATTGTGCCACTTCATCCAAGTGACAAGACTAGGATGAATGGCAATCCACCTGGCGTATGCGGTTGCTAGATATCCGGGTGGTTAATTAGGTCGRTTTGTGTTTTGGGGGGGRGGGGGGGGGGGAGGGGACAAGGAAGTATGTTTATTGGGCGGAGCAGAGCCAATGGCCATTCAAGTCCCAAATTAGCCGATTCGGCTTGGTCCCATCCTGGTGGTTCGTTGATTTTTTTTTTTTTTTTTTTTTTTTTGAGGTCCGTTGATCCATCATCCTCACCCCTCCTGATCGGACGATGGTAGATGGAAGGTGGCTGATTTACTTAGTACCACTGTAAGTGATTTTCTGGAAGGGAAAAAAAAAAAAAAAGGGTCCGTCTGACCAGAGGCGCATGGGTAATCGGACCGGCCACCGTCTTGACCCGAATATAATGCCCAGTGATTTTCGGCTTGTATGTAGACTGGAAGTTGCCCCGAATACAGCTACAATACCGGGCGTTCTATCGGGTGAGGACGGTAGTTTAGGGGCCTGCTGGCAGAACGGCGCCCGGAGTCCTGATCCCGACTGGTCCAGGAGGGATCTCGATCATATGAACATGCGGTGAGACCTCACGTCCGTGGTCTCGCCGTCAAACCCTTTGTTAGAAAGAGAGGCTTAGGGTCGGATCCCACTACCCTGGATTATTCATTTTTCACCCTCGATTACGAAGATCAACGGTCAGAAATGAAGAATAGGGGTTAGTGGGATCTGGCCCTTAGTCTCTGCTGTCCAGGATAGCTGCTCTGTGTGGAGAGTACCAGTAGCTGCTATGTTGGCTATGTCGGGTATCCGGCTACGGTGCCATGTCGGCTATGTCGGCTATGTCGGGTAGTTGGCTATGTCGGGTAGTTGGCTATGTCGGCTATGTCGGCTATGGTGCTATGTCGGCTGTGGTGCTATGTCGGCTATGTCGACTATGTCGGGTAGTTGGCTATGTCGGCTATGTCAGCTTTGTCGGGTAGTTGGCTATGTCGGCTATGTCAGCTTTGTCGGCTATGGTGGTATGCTGGCTATGGTGCCGTGTCGGCTATGTCGGGTAGTTGGCTATGTCAGCTATGTCAGCTTGCCGGCTATGGTTCTATGTCGGGTAATTGGCTATGTCAGCTATGTCAGCTCTGCCGGCTATGGTGCTATGTCGGGTAGTTGGCTATGTCAGCTATGTCAGCTATGTCAGCTATGTCGGTTGTTGAAGCTCTCGCCTTCTTCTGTATCTGGTCTTCTATCCCGAGCCTGGTGTTAAATTTTGTAGAAGCTTGTGCCTTCTTCTGTATCTGGTCAGGTTGGGTAATGTGATTCACTTTATCCGTTTGCCGCTTAACGGGTGGGGACAGGGGTAGGACGGGCGAAGGAGACTTCACACGAACTCTCAATTCATTGAAGTTGTCGACTACTGTCTGCCCCCGAACACAAGGCGCCCTTATCATGACGGATATGACCAGGAAGATAGCTTGTATACATTCATGATCGGGGTAGGTTATGTTTGGGGGAAGACATGACTGGATTGGATCAGGAAGATAGCTTGTATACATCAGTGATCAGGGTGTATTATGTTTGGGAGAAGACGGTCGCGCTCCTGCGGCTTGCACACAGGGCTAACACGATAGAGTCTCTGTTGTCATTATTATTATTATTATTATTTTATTATTATTATTTTATTATTATTATTTTATTATTATTATTATTATTATCATGATTATTATTATGCGGTAGAAAGTTACAAGAAAAGGTGAAACCCTCTTTCTCTTCTTTCTTCCGAATAAACAGGTCCAAGTCCAATATAATTGATGCCCAATCACTTTGATAGTGATTGCAGGATTTACGAGAGAGAGAGAGAGAGAGAGAGAGAGAGAGAGAGAGAGAGAGAGAGAGAGAGAGAGAGAGAGTAAACGGTCTGTGTGTGTGTGTGTGTGTGTGTGTGTGTGAGAGAGAGAGAGAGAGAGAGAGAGAGAGAGAGAGAGAGAG